GCCGAGTCTTATACTTTGTGTTTACAGTGCGACCGAGCGCACAAAGGAGTTCTCGACAGATCAGTGAAATACATGTAAAACCCTTCTTGATCAAAGTAACGCTGAAATTCTCCTTTAAAGGACAGTGAATATAAGCCAACTCGCTAATCTCAAAAGTAGAAGCTGCTGAACCGAAACATGTTTGGAAACCATCCACATCGAGCACTGCGATCGATGTTCACTTCACGCGTAATGAAGATTACTGATAATGATGTGTCACGTCCGCAGTGATAATATAACATGAATCGAGGTACATCATGGGATACTATTCGATCGTCGTCTGCGTTACAAGTTTTATTCAAGACTAAGTTATAATATTCAACAAATTTCGAACAAATTATACATGTTTTGACCTTTTCGTATTAACATAACAGACCTGTTACTGACATTTCAGGTTTACCTGAAATGTCGGTGGACTGATGCACTTCCATGAGAAATAATACTTATTTACTGACTTTGAGATGCTTATAATCGGCGGAGCTTATATACGGAGGGAACCAAAAAAAAATCACCCTTAAAATGAAAATCTTAAACAATGCTTATAAAACTATTGTTGCGAATGGCAACCACAATTACGTTATAGACCCCATGAACAACATTGGCTGTGAGTGCCCTTTAAATTTGATTACGAAGGAGTTTGATTCTGTGCTAAGGCTCTTTTCGTGTCCTTAGGTACGCTTTTCGACTGGTCGTTGATTTTGTATGGAACAGCCACGGATCCGTTATCAAGTAACTCGCATGTTCCGCGGACATCTGCAGACATCTCATTTCCAACATTTCCAACAGCAAAAACTACAAAAAATGTGCCGTCATCAAAAACCAGGATTTTAGGTTTGAGAAACATTTTCTTGCTCTGTTACAAAAAGTTTTAGGGTTACGTTTGTTTTTTTTTCATAGTTGCTTTTTATTTATTTAATCGGTACCGGATAGGCCACAGTAGATAGACTTTGATGGGTTTCTCGCTGGCTATTAACCACTAACCTATTACCCAACCCCCCC